GACTGACCCAGGACACCAAGACTGACCCAGGACACCAAGACTGAGACCCAGGTCACCAAGACTGGACCCAGGTCACCAAAGACTGACCCAGGTCAACCAAGACTGACCCAGGTCACCAAGACTGACCCAGGTCACCAAGACTGACCCAGGACACCAAGACTGACCCAGGACACCAAGACTGACCCAGGTCACCAAAGACTGAAAACCAGGACACGCAAGACTGACCCAGTCAACCAATACTGACCCAGTACAACCAATAACTGACCCAGGTCACCAAGACTGACCCAGGACAACCAAACTGACCCATAGACACCCAGACTGAACCCAGTGACACCAAAGACTTACCCAAGGACACCAAGACTGACCCAGGACACCAAGACTGACCCAGGACACCAAGACTGACCCAGGACACCAAGACTGACCCAGGACACCAAGACTGACCCAGGTCACCAAGACTGACCCAGGACACCAAGACTGACCCAGGACACCAAGACTGACCCAGGACACCAAGACTGAACCCAGGACACCAAGGAAACGACCCAGGACACCAAGACTGACCCACCGCCCAGGACACCAGAAAACTACATCCAAGGTCACCAAGACTGACACCCAGGTCACCAAGACCTGAACCCAATCTTCTATATGAACAAGATGTCTTGTTAGTGTTAATTTGAATATTGAATAAATCTGTTGTAGTTAATGGGGTACTTCCGAGACAAGGAATTTTGCAAGGATTTTGTGATATGCAGTTGTAATTCCAGGAGAAACGGTAAGAAAGATTACCGTTTAAAAATTAACGGAGTCTGTTTGTAAGACAGGAAAACAGGTGTGCTCTAAATAGAGCCTTGTCAAGTGTTGATGTAGCTTTTTTATATCAAGCTCTGTGTAGAGAGCTTAAAATCACGCTGTATCATGGAATGCTTGACAGACCACCTTGTAATCATGGATGAGGGACAGACCACATCTTGTACAATGGATGAGGGACTGACCACCTTGGTAAACATGGATGAGGGGACTGACCACCTTGTAGACAGGATAGGGGGGAACTGACCACCTTGTATCATGGATGAGGGACTGACCACTCTTGTATCATGGATGAGGGAAGACCACCTTGTTATCATGACTTGATGGACCTGAACTCACCTTGTATCATGGATGAGGGACCTGACCACTCTTGTATCATGCAGAGGGACTGACACCCTGTGTAATCCAATGCTGAAGGGGACTGACCACCATTGGTAACACACATGGCTGAGGACTGACCACCTATGTATCATGACTGATGGGGTCTGACCCCCTTGTATCATGGATAGGGACTGACCACACAAATGTAATCAAATGGCTGAGTGACTGACCACCTTGTATCATGACTGAGGGGCTGACCACCTTGTATCATGGATGAGGGACTGACCACCTTGTATCATGACTGAGGGGCTGACCACCTTGTATCATGGCTGAGGGACTGACCACCTTGTATCATGACTGAGGGTGCTGACCACCTTTCGTCATGGATTAGGGGACTGACCACCTGTTATCACAATGACTGATGGTCGACCACCTTGTATATCAAAGGCTGAGGGACTGACCCACCTTGTATCAATGAACTGAGGGACTGACCACCTTGTATCATGGATGAGGGACTGACCACCTTGTATCATGACTGAGGGGCTGACCACCTTGTATCATGGCTGAGGGACTGACCACCTTGTATCATGACTGAGGGGCTGACCACCTTGTATCATGGATGAGGGACTGACCACCTTTGAATTCAAATGACTGAGGGGGCTGACCACGCTTGTATCATGCTGAGGGAACTTACCACTCTTGGTAATCATGATTGAGGGGCTGACCCCCTTGTAATCATGAGATGTAGGGACTGACCCACCTTGTATCATGACTGAGTGGGCTACCACCTTGTAATCAATGGCTGAGGGACTGACCCACACCCGCACCTTGTATCATGACTGAGGAACGGGGTGACCACTCTTGTTCATGGCCTGAGTGACTGACCACCTTGTATCATGACTGAGGGGGACTGACCAAGCTTGTATCATGACTGATGGACTGACCACCTTGTAATCATACTGAGGGAATGACCACCATTGTAATCTATGGCTTGAGGGACTGACCACCTTGTATCACATGATGAGGGACTGACCACACTTGTTTCATGGCTCGATGAGGGACTGACCACCTTGTATCAATGACTGAGGGAACAGACCACCTTTGTATCATGCCAGAGTACTGACCACCTTGTAATCCACATGGCTGATGGGACTGACCACCTTGTAACAATTGACTGAGGGACAGACCACCTAGTATCATGACTGAGGACTGCCACCTTGAAGCACTCAACATGGGCAGAGGGACTGAACACCTTGTTATCAAGACTGAGAGTGACTGACCACAGCATTGTATCATGACAGAAGGGGGGACTGACCACCTTTTTAATCACATGACTGGGGCTGACAACCTGTAATCATGACTGAGGGACTGACCACACCTTGTAATCATGAAAACTTTGGAGGGACTGACCCCCACGCTTCCCACCATGACTCAGGGAACTGGACCACCCTTGCCACACCATGACTCGGAGGACTGACCACCTTCACCAAGACTCAGGGGGACTGACCCACCTTCCACCAAGACTTCAGGGAACTGACCACACCTTCCAACCATGACTCGGGACTGACCACCTAACCAAACACCAAGACTATCAGGGGACTGAACCACCTTCCACACCATCTGGGGGAAGACTTTCAGGACTGACCACCTTCCCACCATGGACTCCAGGGACTGACCACCTCCACCATGACTCAGGGACTGCTGAACCTCCTTCCACCATGACTCATGGACAGACCACCTTCCACCGATGACTCAGGGACTGACACCTTCCAAACCATGACCGGTGAACTGACCACCTCACCCATGACTCAGGGACTGAGAACCTTTCCACCATGACTCTGGTACTGACCACTTCCAACCATGACTCAGGGGGACTGACCACCTTCACCAATACTCGGGGACTGACCCCACAGCTTCCAAACCCCTTCCAAATAAACCATGACTTCGGGGGACTGACCCCCCTCAAAACACTCCGCTTCTGCTGTCATATATCATTCTATCATACTCTCAAAGGTTTCAAAGGTAAGATCAAACAACAAGAACACGGCCACAGCCTGAAGGCTCAGCTCCTTGAAGCTGCTAAGCTGTAGAGTCCTTACCTTAAGGGCTATAATAATCCGGTCCCCCTATAAGGAGCAGCTCTATAATTGGATAGACAAAGTCTGGTCTATTATCCATAGTCTTCATTACCTATCGTGTTCACCAGTTAACTGGTGAGATAGTTTAGTGCTAGGTGTAGAATGTGGTAGTTGTGATAGTTGTGGTATTGTGGAAGTTGTGGTAGTTGTGGTAGTTTGTGATAGTATTTGTGGATAGTTGGTGGATGTTGGTGGGTAGTAGTGGTAGTTGTGGTAGTTGTGGCAAGTTTTGTGGAAGTTTGTGGTAGTTGTGGCCAGTAGTTTTTGTAAGCTTGTGAATAGTTGTGGTAGTTTGGTTGTTGGTGGTTAGTAGTGGATTGTGGATAGTTGAGGTAGTTGTTGTAGTTGTGTAGTTGTTGTAGTTGTGGTGTAGTGGTTGTTGTGGTTGTGGTGGGTAGTGAGGTAAGTGGTGTAGTTGTGGAAGTGTGGTAGTTGTGGCAGTGTTGGTTGTATTGTGGTAGTCTTGTGGTTGATTGTGTTGTGGTGATAGTGTGTGGTAGAATGTGGTAGTTTGTGGAAGTTGTGGTTGTGGTGGTAGTGGGTGGTAGTTTGTGGTAGTTGTGTCAGTTGTTGTAGTTGTGGTAGTTGTGTAGTTGTTGGCAGTTTGTTGTAGTTGTGGTAGTGTGGTAGTTATGTGGTTTTAGTGGTTTGTGGTGGTAGTGGTGTAGTTTGTGGTTGTGGTGGTATGGGTGGTATTGTGGTAGTTGTGGTGGTGGTGGAGTGGTGGTAGTGTTGGTAGCGGTGGTGGTGGTAGTGGTGGGTAGTGGTGGTAGTGGTGGTAGTGGTGTAGTTGTGTGGGTGGTGGTGTTGGTGGTTGGTGGTGGTGGTGGTGGTGGTGTAGTTGTGGTGGTGGTGTAGTGGTGGTAGTGGTGGTAGTGGTGTAGAAGTGGTGATGGTGGTAGTGGTGGTAAAGTGGTGTTAGTTGTGGTGGGGTGGTAGTTGTGGTGGTGGTGGTAGTGGCGATAGTGTGGTAGAGGTGGTAGTTGTGGTGGTGGAGGGTATTTGTGGGTAGTGGAAGGTAATTGTGGTTGTGGAGGTAAGTTGTGGTAAGATTCTGACAGTATGGTGGTTGTGGTAGTTTCTGACATAGTGGTAGATTTGTGGTAGTTTAATGACAGTAGAGGTAGTTGTGGTAGTAAAGTGGTTGAAATGACGATTAATTTATTATTATCATTATTATTATTGTTATTATTATTATAATTTTATTATTATAATTATTATTATTATTATTATTATTACTGCTATCATCACATCAATTAACCAAGGAAACAGGAGTTTACCGACATGCACACCCATCATTCATGCTCTCCTTCCTCGGATCGAAACCTAAATCCCTCGACTACTCAACGTCCCTCTGATTACCCCTTAAAGGAAGCTGTCTGGCCGGCCCCTACGGGTGGGTGTTCTACGGCACCTTCCCTGGGCTACCCTTGGAAAGCTTAACTACTATTTAGGGAACGAATTTTTAAAAAAAAAACGTCAGGAGGTCCAGAAAAATTTTCCCTGATTGTCAGAACCTCCTAGCTCCACTTATCCTTGGAACATTAAAAAGGCCTCAGGTGATGGTATGGGTAATGGGCAGGGTGGTAATGGGTGTGAGCAGGTTTAAAGTAATAGGTGTGAGCAGTGGTAGGCGGGCAAACAGAAAGCCTTGGTTAGTCAAGAGAGGGAATTTTTAAGTAGACGGTGGTTTCGAGACCTTCATGAATCTAGGAAGTGGAGGTGACGACGAAGGAGATGGAGGTGGATGCTGAAGGTGGAGTGGTGCAGACGGTGGATGGTTGCTGGCTGGAAGGTGGAAGGTGATGCTGGTAGATGGAGGTCACTGCTTATCTTTAGAAGGGGGGGGGAGGATGAGTGGGAGGGGTGAGGTGGGGGGGGGTGGTGGGGAGTGGGGGGGTGATAAGGGATTGTTGTGGGGGTGGTGTGGTGGTGTATTGTGTGGTTGGGGGTAGTGGTTGGGGGTGGTGAGTGCTGAAGTGAGGTGGTGATGAAGTGGAAAGGGTGGCTGCTGGAGGTGGAGGTGATGCTGGAGTGGAGGTTTGATTGCTGCAGGAGGAGATGGATGTGAATGCTAGGAGGTGGAGGTGATGTTGGAGATGGAGGTGATGCTGGCAGAATGGAGAAGATGGAAGTGATGCTGAAGGTGGAGTATATACAAGAGGAGAGAGAGAGAGAAAGAAGAACACAGAGGAGAGGAGGGATGATAGGAGAGATAGAGAGAGAGATAGGTAATATCCTGCTTATTAAGAGGTACTAAACCTGGGATATACACCCCTCTAAATGCCAGATAAGGAGGGGAGAATAATCCTGGAATATTAATAATATACCAGGTAGATATTACCTTCATGAGGGTGAATGTCTCATGATCCTAGGATCCTCTAGAGCTGTACTCTTTATAAATGTATACCCTAAGAGTATATAATATAAATATATACTAATATATCTAAATATATATATATATAACTATATATATAATATATATATTCATAAATATACAATACAAACATGAACCTCTCAGTGTATATACACAGAGAGATATACACCTTCTCGTTATATATACGTACTTTGTGGGATATACACCTCGTAGCATATATACATAAAGGAAATACACGTCCCAATGTATAGACTCCGTCATACTCTGGAGAATTATTATCAATAATGTCAATAAGAAATTCAACTCTATTCAGTAAAGAGCATCGGCTCCCACAAAATAAAGTATTCAATACTATCTCTTATCTATCTGCAAGGGAGGTAAAGGAATCGGATTCTATTGTTGTTCATAACTTGTTCATTCCGTTGTTATTGAGAGATGTTATTGTTCATTTTGTGAAGGAAGGACTTTATTGAGGCTTTGGAATAAAGCAGAGAGCCTTCTGCTTTACTATTCTTAGAGACCAAAGTAATAGACGATAGTTCTTAATCTAGATAGTAGTAGATAGTCCCTCCTAGTATTCTCGGAGACCTAGATAGTACGCGATAATTCTTAATATAGACAGAAGTAGATCTCCTCTCCTAGTAGATAGTTTCAGTGTGGACTCCCATGTCCTGTACTGCCTATCTTTCCCATGTACTCCCATGTACTCACAAGTACTCTTATGTACTCACATCATACCAGTTCTGTTTACAACACCAACACGGCTCCTCAAGCCCAGTATCATACAACGATACATAACAATTGAAAAAAACCTCCAGACAAGAGGTGCAACACTAATGTGGATAAGAGTTGTTGTGACCAAATAATTTATTTTTGTGAATCGATGAGGGTACTTTTTTAAAAAAATT